GAGGAGGAGGAGGAGGAGGAGGAGGAGGAGGAGGAGGAGGAGGAGGGAAGGATGACGAGAGGAGGTCGATCCCGCCCGCCCGCCCCTGGAGGCTGTGGCGAACAGAGGGCCCGTCGTGGTCTCAGTCGACGCGTCCGGCTGGTCCAGCTACGGGGGAGGCGGCCGCCCTCCGGGCCAGATCGGAGGGCTGACGCACGGCGGGGGCACCCAAACTCAGGCGATCGCCAACATGGATCAAGGGGGCGTGGATTAGCGACGGGCCCCGTTTCAATGGGAAATCGCCGATTTCCGCCGCCGAACGAGGCGGCGCCGGCCGCATTTTGGGGAGGGCACCTCGATCCATGGATCAGGCGACCGCGCGCCGAATCCATGGATCGCGAATCCATGTTTGCGCGTCCCTGACGAACGGTGCGGTGACCACGCCGTGTGGCGAGCCGGTGGGGCTGCGGGGAGGCCGCGCGATCTTTGGGACTCCAGGGGCTTTTTTCCCGAGGACGTCTCGGGCAGCTGGGGGGTCCCCAGGATCCCAGCACCGTGCGGTGACGCACCGTGCGGTGGGGTCTCTGCGGAGTTCGAGTTCACCGCGCGCTGGGTCACCGCACCGCATCTTGGGACCCCTGGGAGGAGCGGGGGGAGCAGGAGGAGGACGACGAGAGTGAGGACGAGCAGGAGGATGAGGATGAGGAGTGTGAGAGGAGGGGTGCACATGAGCAGGAGGAGGTCTGGAGGGGCACTCGCATGTTGTTGTTGTTGTTGTTGTTGTTGTTGTTGTTGTTGTTGTTGTTGAACTCTCATTTCTGAAGAATAATTCTTGTTGATCCCCCCTCACCGGTGCATACTGTTTTTCTCAATCAAAGTGTGCCCCTCGACGCTCGCACCCTGTTTTTTGACAGGGAAAGTCTTGGTGCTCAAACTGTGCCCCTGGCCCCCTGGAGTACAACAACAACGGCTCCCGCCTGTGACTTCCTCCAAATTTGCTCAGGACCCTGGCTTCACAATCTACTCAGGATCGGTGCTCCCGCATGTGACTTCTGCAATTTAGTCAGGACCCCCGCTCTTAGCTGAGACTTCCTCACAACTTACTCAGGAACGGCGCTCCCGCTTGGGACTTCCTCGCAATTGAATCAAGACTTCCTCGCAATTTAATCAAGACCCCCGCTCACGCCAGAGAACCTTATTTTATTCAGGAATTGCGCTCTTGCCTGTGACTTCCATGCAATGTATTCAGAAATCGCGCTTTCGACGCTCAGGAAACACGCTGCGCCAAGGACGCCGTCACAATTCACTTAGTAATCGCGCTCTCGCCATACTCAGGCATCCCGCTTGAATGTCCCACCCGCCCGACCCGCCCGTCAGGGGATCGCCCGTCCGTCGTGGGCTCCCGCCCGAGACTTCCTTCAGGAACGGCGCTTTCGCCTAGGACTTCCTCGAACGTTCACGCTCTTACCTTCCTGCTCCGCCTCCCTCTCCTTCTTCCCTCCTCCCTCCTCTCCTCCCTTCTCTCTCCCTCCTCTCTTCCCTCATCCTTATGCCTCTCTGCCCTATCCCCTCTCCCTCCTCTCCCTCCTCCCTTCTCCCTCCCCTCTCCTGCCTCCTCCCTCCCTTTTTTGTTTTCCCCTCTCTCTCTCTCCCCTCTCTCTCTCTTTTTCTCTACCTCTATTATCTGTCTTTCTCTCTCTCTCTCTCTGCCTCTAATCAACCGCCCCCCTCTTCGCTCCTTCTCTCCTGGCGTTTTCCCTCTTTCTTCGTCCCTCCCCCTCCCTTCCCCCCACTCTCCCTCGTTCTCTCCCTCTTCTTTTTGCAGGGCCCGCAAACAATTCCAATAGCGGGCACATTACGCCCACGATGGATTGTCCGCCCGTTCAGGTTTGCCCGCCTGTCTAAGCCCGCCGCCCCCCGCAAAGAGAAAAAATCCCCCAAAGGGGGTGTGATCGAAGACAAAAAGGGCGGGTATCGAGGGTGTGGGAAACTCGTTTCGAATACACGCGGGCAAGTAAGAGCGAACAGTCTTATAATGAATGTTGTGGTTGCTGTTGTTGTTGTTGCCGTTGTTGTCGTGATTGTTGATTTGTTTTAACTGTTGTTGTTGCTGTTGTTGTTGCTGTTGCTGTTACTGTTGCTGTTGTTGTTGTTGCTGTTGCTGTTGCTGTTGCTGTTGCTGTTGTTGTTGTTGTTGTTGTTGTTGTTGTGGTTGTTGTTGTTGTTATTGTTGTTGTTGTTGTTGTTGTTGTCGCTGCTGCTGCTGCTGTTGTTGTTGTTGTTGTTGTTGTTGTTGTCGCTGTTGTTGTTGTTGTTGTTGTTGTTGTTGTTGTTGTTGTTGTTGTTGTTGTTGTTGTTGTTGTTGTTGTTGTTGTTGTTGTTGTTGATGTTGATGTTGTTGTTGCGGTTGCCGCTGCTGTTGTTGTGGTTGTCGTGGTGGTTGTGGTTGTGGTTTTGGCTGTTGTTGTTGCTGCTGCTGTTGTTGTTGTGGTTATGGTTGTGGTTGTGGTTGTGGTTGTGGTTGTGGTTGTGATCGTGATCGTGGTTGTTGTTGTTGCTGCTGCTGTTGTGGCATGCTCATCTCCAATACATATTTTTTTGGGATCTCTGCAAACGGATCCGCGCGCTCTCGCTTCGCCGCCAGCCGCATTTTCTCTGAAAGCGAGGCTCCCGCTCCGGCGTTGGCTTGAACCTGAACGTGGGCCCCTGGAGGCGCAGCTACGACAGCAACGGCTCCCGCTCGATACTTCCTCACAGTTTACCCCGAGACACCCTGGCCAGAGAGGCCCCCGAACTCGGGAACGCCGCTTTCGCTCGAGAGCTCCTCGCAATGCAATGCATGTGGCGGAGGCCCAGCCACGACGACGAGGGCTCCTGCTCGATGACTCCTCACGATTTACTCCGAGAGCCCCTGGCCAAGAAGGCCCCTGAACTCAACGGCGCCCTCGCTCGAGATTTTCTTGCAATTCGGGCAAGTTGGTGGTCGCCCGCAGCCGTTGCCCGCTCGGCGTCCTCTGGCTCGTGCGTGCCTCCGCCCGTCCTCCCGCTCGCCCCGACCCTCCGCCGCCGGGCCGCCGAGGCCCCCTCGCACCGACCCCATGGGCGCGACGAACGGCAAGTGCGCCGCTCCGGGCGCCGGCCCCGTGCCGGAGGGCGCGGATGGCAAGCCGCTCATCTTCGGTCGCAAGTCACGGGAGCCCGGCGTGCCTTGTTGGTTCCGTCGTCAGCGTCGATGAGCGGCGACCGGCGTCTGGGGTCGATGAGCTAGCGCCCATGGAGCGTCGGTGAGCGTCGGCTTGGTGTCGATTAGCGCCGATGTAGCGTCGCTTAGCGTCGATTCGCAAGCGCCGACTAGATGGTATGGGAGGCTCCCGTGAGTTGCCACCGAACTCATCTTGGAGTCGTCCCACATCTTCGACGACGCCACTATGAAGAAGTACGTTCCGGCGCCAGTCTGCAAGAGGTTCCTCGAGGACACCGTGTCTGGCAATCCCACCAGCGAGGAGGACCAGCGGGCCATCGCGGAAGGCATGTTCAAGTGGGCTCGGGAGAAGGGCTGTACCGATTTTGCCCACTGGTTCTTCCCGGTCCGCGGCGGCAGCGGTGCCGTGGGCGGTGCCGTGGGCGCCCTCAAGATGGACACCCTGGTTGACCTCGACTTCAAGTCGGGGAGCGCGATCAAGCCCTTCTTCGCGACGCTCCCGCACGAGCGCCTGTTCCAGGGCGAGACGGACGGCTCCTCGTTCCCCAACGGCGGCCTGCGCGTGACGCACTCTGCCGCCGCCTTCACGGTGTGGGACCGGACGTCGCCCCCGATCATTGCGGGCACCACGCTCCGGATCCCGTGCTCTTTCCTGACGCACCTGGGGAAGGCGATCGACGACAAGACGCCGCTCCTGCGCTCGCAGGACGCCGTCAGCGTCCAGGGGATGCGCTTCCTGAAGGCTTGTGGACGATGACCCATGGAGAGGAAGCATGTTGCCAAATAATTTACAGATGCCTAATTTTTCAACATGTCTTAAGCATGTGCAAAAACAGGCCTTAAAATTTCTAGAACATCTTGCCGACATTTTAAACACATTTTTGATTCAATGATCGGATTGTTAGGGTGTCCATTGTCATGGCATCCACAATTGAAGGCTCTGGGGCTGGCGTCCGATGCTAAGTGCCTGCGCTCGTACCTCGGGTGGGAGCAGGAGTTCTTCGTCGTCTCCGCAGACCTGTACAAGAAGCGGCCAGACCTCGTCAACACGGGCCGCACGCTGTTCGGCAAGCTGCCCACACGCGGCCAGCAGATGGACCTCAACTACTTCGCCCCCGTCCCAGAGCTCGTCGACAAGCTGCTGGTGGAGGTGCAGCAGGAGATGCTGAAGACGGGCACCCCGATGGCGGTCCGCCACAACGAGGTTGCTCCAGGGCAGCACGAGATGTCGCCGATCTTCGGGTTGGCCAACTGGTCCGCCGACAACAATGTGTACTTCATGGAGGTTTGCAACAGGGTGGCAGCCAAGTACAATCTGATGGTGCTGTTCCACGAGAAGCCGTTTGCTGGCATCAACGGCAGTGGCAAGCACGCCAACTGGTCCGTCGGAACTGACACCGGTATCAATTTTTTCTACCCAGGTAAGACAGACGAAGCACGCACTATCTACACTGCGGCCCTGGCCTGCCTCGCTCATGGCATCATGCAGTACAACGAGGTTCTGCGCTGTGCCGTGGCACATGCAGGCAACGACCACCGCCTCGGAGCCCAGGAGGCGCCCCCGGCCATCATCTCGCTCTACCCTGGCACCGGCTTCGAAGCGCACGTGGACGCGGTGATCGCAGGAGGCCCCCTGAACGAGTTCAAGGCTGAGAAGAAACAGCAGCCCACTGGTTGCAAGGCGTCCATGGCGGTGGAGTCCAACGTCGAGGATCGCAACCGCACGGCTCCCTTCCCGTTCTGCGGCAACCGCTACGAGTTCCGCGCGGTGGGCTCGTCGCAGAACTGCTCCTTCCCGGTGATGATTTGCAACACGATAATGGCCGCCGGCATGAGCGCGCTCTCCGATAAGATCGAGGGCGGCATGAAGGCGGGCATCCTTTTTTCATCCCTTCTCTTCGGCCCTCCACCCTTCTGTTCCTTCCCTCCGGTGTGCTGCCTCCGCTCCCCGACCCTTTGTGCTTTGCTGCCGCGCCCTCGCCTTTTCCCTCCCGCTTCTTCGGCCCGGTGCCCTTTAGAGCCCTGCTTGTTTCTCCTTCGCACCCCTGCTATTTCTCCCTCCCTCTCGTTTCCCCGCTTCCTCTGGCAGCAAGGGCCCGGCCCACGCGGGGCTGCCATGTCTGGGGGCTCGTTGGTGACATACGCGCTCGGTCTCTGTGCACTCGACTTTTTTTTTCTGCTTGCTGTTTTTGTCTCGCCCTGCGCTCTGTAGCAAATCATGGAAGCCTGGTATACCCTCCTGATTCTGCCTCCAGCGTCCACCAGCGTCGACGAGCGTCTGGGAGTGGATGAGCTAGCGCCGAGTGAGCGTGTCGGCGAGCGTCGACCAGCGTCGCCTTGGCGTCGGTGTGGCGCCGATGTGGCGTTGAGCCGGCAAGATGGGTATGGGAGGCTCCCGTGAGCTGCCACCGAACCTTGCGCTCTCCCTCTCACCCCCCCCGCCCCCGCGGCCGCCTCTCTTCCCCTTTCTCGCCGTCCTCCCCGCCGCCCGACGGCTCTCCGCGCCTGCCGCCTCCCGGCCCGTCCCGAGCTCGCGTGCGGCCCGCCCCCGCCGCGCTGCAGCGTGCAGCAGGTCTTCGTCTCTTGACCCGCTCCTTCTCGTAGGTCGGGCACGTCCCTCTGCAGGAGGAATCTTAAGCTACCCTGTGACGTACCCAGCCCACTTGCATCAAGTGGCGAGAGGAATTGGCCCAAACCTGCCAGGACAACGCAGGCTACAGGGGATGCGGTCACGTGGCACGGTTCACAGGACAACAACAGAAGGACGAGGAGCGAGCGCCCAGGCTCGAGGTTGACATGGGGGCGGGAAGGAAGGCAAGATAAGGACGTGCGGGGGGCCGACCCGTCAGCGCGGCAGCAGCAGAGGGAAGGCGGCAGGGGGCAGAGGACGACGAAAGTCACGGGAGGAGACCGAATAGTGCTTTTGTCCCGTAGTGCGCTAGAGATGCAGCGCTGCCTGCGCCATGTCGCCGCGGCGTTCGACAATATGATTCAAGCTGCTTAGACTTAGTGGAAGAAGCGAGCGAAGCCCAGCTCGCCCGCCAGCTTCCCTGCTTCTTTCCCTCACTCTTCGGTGCTGGAGCTAAGCGCTCGAAGGCGCGCCGCCAGGTCTGCGGGCGGTCCGCGACGGCGCCCCGCTGGATCCCCCTGCAGCCCTCGAAAGTGGTGACAGTTTCGCAGATCGCTCGATTCCCCCAGGGATGGCGAGGTTTAGCCTGAGTCTGGGTGGTGCTTCACCCCGCTGAACCGCCCAGCAGCCTTCGAAAGTGGCGACGTTTCGCATATCGCATCCTCCCAGGGATGGCGAGGTCTAGTCTGAGTCTGGGTGTTGCCATACTCCGCTGAACCCCCCAAGAAGCCAGAAGGCTTCGGAAATGACGACATTTTCGCAGATCGCAGCCCCCCCCCCGCATGTGGCGAGGTCTAATCTGGGTCTGGTTGGTGCTTCACTCCATTAGCCCTCTCGGCAGCCCTCGAAAGTGGCGACAGTTTCGCACATCGCAGCCCCCCAGGGACGGCGAGGTCCAATCTGAGTCTGGGTGGTGCTTTATTCCGCTAGACCCCCCTACCAGCTCTCGAAAGTGGTGGTAGTTTCGCAAATCGCATCCCCCCAAGGATGACGGGTCTAATCTGAGTCTGGGTGGTGCCTCATTCCGCTGGGCCCCCAGCAGCCTTCGACAGCGGCGACGTTTCGCAGATCGCAGCCCCCCACGGATGGAGAGCTATATCCTGGCTATGTGGCGGATACCCAGTATGTTGGTCTCTTTAGCAAGCCCCAGAAGTTGCGACAGATTCGCAAATCCCCCCCCCAGAGTGGCAAGATCTAGTCTGAATCCGCGGCGGGTACACACTATGCAGGCCCCCCCCAGCAGCTTTCGAAAGTGGCGACGTTTCGCATATCGCAGCCCCCCATCCCCCCAGGGACGGCGAGGTCTGATCAGACTCCGCGGCAGGATCCCACTATGTTGTCCCCCCCAACAACCCTCGAAAGTGGCGACAGTTTGGCATATCCCCACCCCAAGGATGGCGAGGTCTAGTATGGATCCGCGGCAGGTGCCCACCATGCTGGTCCTCCGAGCTGCCTTCGAAAGTGGCGACAGTTTTGCATATCGCAGCCCCCCCAGGGATGGCGAGGTCTGATTTGAATCCTCGGCGGGTACCCGCTATGCTGGTCCTACCCCCTCAGGGATGGCGAGGTCTAATCTGAATCCTCGGCGGGTGCTCGCTATGCTGGCGCCCCCGGCAGCCCCCGAACGTGGCGATAGTTTTGCAGATCGCAGCCTCCGCGGGGTTGGCGAAGTCTAGGGTGAATCTCGAAAATGGCGACAGTTTGGCAGGTCGTTCACACTTCGCAGGCCCCACAGGCAAGCCACCAGGCGCACAAGAGAGGAGAAGGGAGGCGGGCAGAAGGAGGAGGAGGAGGAGGATGAGGAGGAGGCGGAGGAGGAGGAGGAGGAGGAGAAAGTTGGGCACCGCAGTGCTCGATTCAAAATGAGAACCCAACGCAGGGGGGGGTGGGACATGCAGTTAAAAGATAGTCGGGGGACGATGTTCTGACAATTTGCGACTACTTTCGAGTATTTTGTGACTCTGTTTGATTCTTCTTTTAATCCGCCTGTAGGGGGACGCCCGACCTGGGCCTTCTCCCCTCCCTCTCTTTTTTGGTTGTTGTTCGTTGGTTCCGTCATGCAGCAGTCCATGGTCGGCACATCTGGAGTCCGCGCTGTGGGCGAAGGTCACGTCTCCGGGCGTTTGGGCCCGCCATCCTTCCCCCTGCGCTGACGACCACCGCGATGATAAAGCCGTCGTCGTCGTCGTCGTCGTCGTCGTCGTCGTCGTCGTCGTCGTCGTCGTCGTCGTCGTCGTCGTCGTCGTCGTCGTCGTCGTGTCGGTTCGTTTCGTCGACTTTGGGAGGCGATGACGAAGAGACGACGACAATGACCATTACGAAGATGACGACGACGAAGACGACGACGACGACCATGACCACGACCACGACCACGACCACGACCACAGATGTTGTCGCCGCGGCTGGCCGCAGTTCGAAAGACCTATCAGGATAGACTCTGGGATGTGATGACGACGGCGACGACAACGACGACGAAGCCGAAGACGACGGCGACGACGACGACGACGACGGTGACGACGACGTTTTGACGACGACGATGATGATGACGACGACGACGACGACGGCGGCGGCGGCGGCCGCGGCGGCGGCACCGGCGGCGGCGGTGGCGACGACTACGACGCCGACGTCGCTTCGGAGTTCTTTGAGGCTTTCTGGATGTGCTCGTCGCCACGGCTGGACGCAGCTCGAACGACTGGCCAGGATGACCTCTGGGAGGCGGCTGGCGTCTCTGGAGCGTTGGGCTGGAGCCCTCGGGAGCTCCGGGGCCGCATCGGCCCCCTCCCCGGCCCCTGGGTCGACCCCCCCCCCGACGGAAACGAGTATCGGCGGCGAGCCCAGGGGCTAATGCAGAGGGGGCGGGCCTTCTCAGAAGGCTCGGAAGGCCTCTGGCCTTTCGAGAAGTGTTCTAAGCCCTCTCCGAAGGCAGAGACGACTTCTCCGAAGGCGCGAGGGCTTCTCTGAGAAGCCCCGCTGCTTTTCTGAGATGGCCAGTCCCCTCTCGCTTGCCCCCGACCCCCAGAGGTAAACATATAAAGGATGCGAGGGACATGTTCACCCACAGAGGGGTAAAGAAAGGTGGTCGATGGACAAAAACAAAGAGTTTCCCTGCGAAGGCGCGCGATGCCGTGGCCGAGATGTACAAGCAGAACCGCAATGTCATCTTCACCGGCAACGGCTACTCCGCCGAGTGGCCAGCCGAGGCGGCCAAGCGCGGTCTCCCCAACCTCAACACGACACCGAAGGCCATCAAGCAGTGGGCCTCGAACAAGAACGTTGAGCTCTTCGAGAAGCTTGGCGTCTTCTCGAAGGAGGAGACAAAGGCCAGGGCTGAGGTGATGTACGAGGCCTACAATACCACACTCAGCGTCGAGGTCGCCACGATGGTTGACATGGTCAAGACTGGGTTCATGCCGGCGTTTGCACAGGACCTAGCCTTGTACAAAGACGCCCACGACTTGCTGGGTAATCGGAAGTCGCTGTACGCTTCGGTGAAGACAGAGACCGAAAAGCTGGAGAAGATGATGAAGGAGGCTCCTCATGACATGGCTGCAGAGGCCGAGTACCTTTGCGAAAAGGTTAAGGTGCAGATGGTCAAGGTGCGCTCTCTGGTCGATGATGCCGAGGGCCTTCTGGATCAGAAGCTCTATCCGTACCCGACCTACGAGTCCATGCTCTACCACCACCACCACTGAGCTTGAGCCGAAGCCGTCGAGTCTGCAGGTATCGTACTCTTGCGGAGGCTGCGTTTCTGCACGCCCCCGAGGCTCGAGTCCACACTCGTGGGCTGCGTGCCCCATATTTATCATTTCTGGAGCCCTCCCGCTCCTGTTTTGAAGCGCTCTCCTGGTGGAGCCAGGGGGCCCAGGAGGCATTCTCCTGGGCGACTCGTGCCTGAGCCCGCGTGCGCACACGAATGGCCGCGCAGGGTGCTGCTGGAGTGGCGCCGAGCGCCCTGGTGGAGCCTGGGACCTGCCGCAGATCGGCGGCCAGCGAGGGGGGGGAGCGAGAAGGAGAAGGCCTTCTCAGAAGGCTCGGGAGTCCCCCGTCCTTCCGATCAGTCACCTGCGCCTTCCCGTGGGCACAGAGCAGAACCTCTCAGAGGGCGCGAGGGCTGCCGAGCAGTCCCGCCGCCTTCTGGCCTCCTCCTCCTCCTCCTCCTCCTCCTCCTCCCTTCTCCTTCTCCCTCCTCCTCCTCCCTTCTCCTCCTCCTCCTCCTCCTCCTCCTCCTCCCTCCTCCTCCTCCTCTCCTCCTCCCCTCCTCCTTCCTCCTCCTCCCTCCTCCTCCTCCCTTCTCCTCCTCCCTCCTCCCACTCCTCCTCCTCCTCCATCCTCCTCCTCCTCCTCCTCCTCCTCCCTCCTCCCTCCTCGCTTTCCCCCCCCTCGCTCGCCGCCGGGTGGAGGCGGGCAGCTCTGACCGCCCACCACAGCCCGAGCCCGCGCGCTCGCCCGTCCGCTTCGGGCACCTCGCTTAGAATCCGAGCCGAGGCCGCTGCCTGCCATGGCCAAAGAGGAGAAACAACGCCGGGGCCGTGTGGAGCCGCCTCTCGTCGTCGTCGTCGTCGTCGTCGTCGTCGTCGTCGTCGTCGTCGTCGTCGTCGTCGTCGTCCTCCTCCGCCTCCTCGTCGTCCTCCTCCTCCTCCCCCTCCTCCTCCTCCTCCTTCTCCTCCTCCTCCTCCTCTTTTCTCCTCCTCCTTCTCCTCCTTCTCCTCCTCCTCCTCCGCCTCTGTTTCTCCCTCCTCCCTCCTCCTCCTCCCTCCTCCTCCTATGCCCCCTCCTCCTCGCTTCCTCCTCTTTGCTCCTCCTCCTCCTCCTCCTCCCTCCTCCCTCCTCCTCCCCCTTCTCCTCCTCCTCCTCCTCCACCTTCCCCTCCTCCTCCTCCTCCTCCTCCTCCTCCTCCTCCTCCTCCTTCTCCTTCTCCTCCTCCTCCTCCTCCTCCTCATTCCTCCCTCTCCTCCTCCTCCTCCTCCTCCTCCTCCTCCTCCTCCTCCTCCTCCTCCCTCCTCCTCCCCCTCTTCCTCCACCTTGTCTTACGTGACCCTTTCACCCCTACCCCTGGAGCCCCCTTGAAGAGTTTCACGTGCCGCTGTATGTGTACAGCGTGCTTTGGCTGTGTGAATATCAGTTTTCGGAGCAGGCCATATATGGGTACTGTACATGGGCCAACCTTTGCTGTGTTGGCTCAAGTCTCGAAAAGGTGCACGGGGAGAGGGGACATCGCCCATCGTCGTCCCTGCGGACCCTCCCTCGTCCCCGACCGATCCGCGAGTCGGCCTACAACGCTAGCAGGAGCGTGATGGTTGAGCGGGGCAGCGGAGTGCCAGAGATGGCAGAAGGTGATGTGGATCCCCCACGGCCCGAGCACGAGGTAGAGACGCCACAAGGAGAACACCGCCACCAGCAGCAGGACAGCCGGCTGGGGTTACCAGCGCGACCCCAGCGCTGGCGTCGACGGCAAGTGCCACGGAGGACCCCTGGCAGACCGAGGGGAGCGATCCGTGGAGTCAACGGCAGCAGCAGCAGCGGCCAGGCCATCAGCACCATTTTGGGCGAGATGCCTGGAATGCCTGGACACCAGCTGGTGGTGGCAGGACGGAAGGAGTTACCACAGCTGGGGATCACAGACGTGGGAGTGGGGAGGGCCAGCGTGGGCCATCCTGAACGTGCCGGGGCAGCCGCCGCAGCCGCGGTGGATGGGCAGGACGGCCGCTCGGGGCAGCGCTGACGGACCGCCGCCGCGCGGCACCCGCGCCGGCGCCTGCAGCAGCGCCCGCAGCAGCGCCCGCGCGGCCCGCGCCAGCGCCTGCAGCAGCGCCCGCGCGACGGACCGCCGCCCGCGGCACCCGTGCCGGCAACGGCCGCCGCGCCGCCGGCACCAGAGGCCACTGGCGGCCCGACGCCGAGGGCGACGCCCGGCGCAGCCGCCGGCGCCTCGCCTCAGCCGGGCGCGACGCCCGGCGCGGCCCAGAGTGCGGCGCCCGGCGCGGCCGCCGGCGACCCGGCTCGACCGAGCGCGACGCTCGGGGAAACACGCGGCGCCACGGCCGGCCCGCAGCCTCAGCCACCGCTGGAGGCCGAGGGCACAGTGCTTCCCCAGCCGGCACCGTGGCAGTGGGGCGGCAGCGTGGGCGGCGCTGCTACGGGCGCCGCGGGCAGGAGGCCCAACGACACGCAGGGGCCGCTGCCCTGGCAGGGCTTCGAGCTGCTCGATGCGTGGATGGTTCAGGTGGACCAGTGGAGCCGACGGACGGGGCTCCCACCAGAGCAGCAGGCGGGCAAGGTCATGGACGGCCTCCCCGCAGACTTGCAGGAGCGGCTCGTGCACTACGCCGAGGAGCTCGACGGGATCGGCGGGATGGAGGTCCTGTGCGGGTTCCTGAAGACGTGCGGGGGCGACTGGGACGGGGACGAAGCCAAGGGGGCCTTCAGGCTGGCGCTGGAGGACACCGAGATAAGGCAGGACGCCGAGTACGTGATGAGGCGGGATGTGCAGATCAGGGGCGCCACGCGACACGGACTCGATCTTCCTGAGCCGATCCATGTACAGCAGCTGAAGACAGGCGCCAGACTCTCGGACCAGAATATGATCAACTTGCTGTTGCTCACCCAGGACAAAGATGATCTCGAGTCGGTCAAACGCGGGCTGCGATGAAGATGGACATTCGAAAGAAAGCATCGAAGCCGAAGCAACGGGCCTACGCCGTGGACAGTGACGGCGAGACTGACGAGCCAGATCCCAACTACTGCGAGCTGGAGGAGGACCTCTTCATGAATGATGAGGACGCGCTGGCATTCAACGAGGCGATCGCAGCCTGGTAACTTGTTGGACGAGGATCAGGCGACGAGCGTACTGGCGGCCGTTCTGGACGGGGAAAGGCAGAATGAGGGCAAGCCCAGGAAGTGGGCCGAGTCGCGGGAGCTCAAAGAGGCGATCGCCCGTGGCAGTGCCTTTTTTGACTCCGAGACGGGGTGGTCGGCCTGCCCCTCGCCCCGGGGCGGGGCGACAGCGGTTGAGCATCGGCCGCCTGAAGGAGTGGGCGATCCGGTGCGCCAGCTGCGGTCAGAACGGCCATTGGCGCATGGAGTGCACGAATCCGTGCAAGCCGAAGCCGAAACAGGGGGCGACCTCGGGTCCGCTGAAGGAGCCGGGCAGGGGATCGCTCTACGTGAGAGCGAGTGCCGTGGTCGACGATGTCGGGACCTTCGTCGCCGGCAGCCTTCGGATCAAGGAGCTGTTCGCGAACGCGCCGGCCATCGACGGCGACGCGGGCGAGATGACGAGTCGAACAACGAGGAGCTGGAGGGCATGGTGGGCACAGCGGCCGGAGAGGCGCTCGTCGGCAAGAAGCAGCTGACAAACCTCAGGGAGAAGCGCGCGAAGCTCGGCTGGACCATCCCGACTCGCGATGTGTACGGGTCCCCCGCCGCAGAGGGGGTCGGCGGACGTTCGAAGGTAGTCGGCGAGGCGATGATGCCAGTGGCGAAGGGCGTGGTGAGGTGCCTGATCCTGTTCCGCGTGGTGACCGAGCACGTGTCTCCCCTCTTGCCGGTGCGCTAATTGGAGGGCCTCGGCGGCGTCGTGGGCCTTCAGCGGGACACGCTGACGCTTCGCCGCGAGTGGGAGGACCGAGTCATTCCCATGACTCGTCTGAGGTCCAGGCATCGGACCGTGGGTCTTTTGGATGGCAGCCGGCCGCGGGAGTTCGAGATCCCCGCGCTCGCGTAGCTGGACTGGCCAGGACTGTGCGCATGTGAATTTTGCGCGTGCGAGGGATCGTCATCTGTAGTCGCCGTTCGTCTCACCTGCCTCTCCGCGTCTTCTCCCTCGTCTTAACTTGTTGGGCTCCTCGAGGATGCTGGGAACTCCGAACTGGGGCTCTCGGAGGCCACTTCCAGGGGTGCCTCGGGAAAGGGGGCTTCGAGGTGGTCCAGGTCACGATCGAGAGGAGACCCAGTCAGCCACGAGAGCGAGGAGCATTTCGGAGCAGGTGGAGATCAGGGGGGGTGAGAAGGAGGGCGGCGACAGAGGAGGTCAGGAGACCGACGGAGATCAGGATTCGAGGGGCGCCGAGGACGGGGACTTCGGGATCACGCACGGAAAGATTGACCGTCGCGGGACCTCTGGGCTCAGAAACGGTTCACCCCCAAGTTAATCCCCAATCATTTCCTTGGGGGAAGGCTCCGAGACCTCAGAGCATCTTCAGTCCTCGGGTGCCAATGGCGTCCGGAGTAATCGAGACGGAGACCGCGAATTCCCGTTCGCCTGGCGTGGCCGGGTCCAGGGACAGGAAGCCAGCATCGCGCCCGGCAGTCAGGTTCGAGGTCCCGAAGGCAGAGCGAAGCTGGGGGGAAGTCGGGGTGTCGGACAGCTCGGAGGAGGAGCTCGAGGAGCCGATCAGCGAGTCGACGGACAAGTCCCTGCGTGGATGGAAGCGCATGGTGGCGAAGATGGCCGTTCTCATGAAAGCAAAGGAGGCAGCGGAGCTGCCGGGGGACTTGGGATTCTGCCAGATCGAGCCGGTGGCCGACGGACTGAGCTGCAGTCGCCCCGAGGACGCGTGCATCGAGAGGGGGAATCAGTACGTCGAGTGAGCCAATTGTCTGGCCTGCCAGATCCGCTTGTGGATTCGCACCTCGACGAAAGAGGAGCGGGCCGCCCAGCGAAGGAGGAAGGCGGAGTGCGATTCCAGGAAAGCGAGCCAGGGGGCCACGCGTCAGGAGGTGCCGTTCGAGGTCCCCGTCGAGTCCAAGATCTACCGCTGGAAGAAGCAGACCGCGGCGTCGTCGCCGGGGGCCCCGCCGGCATCGTGCGGGTCGGACGCTGCGACGAGCAGTAACGAGCACCCCTCCGAGCGCGACAGGATGGCAGATGCGCTGGCCGCGAACGCCGAGGCGAGATGGCGGCGGTGGCCCAGAAGCTGGCGAGCCACCGCGACCTCTGAGGGGCCGAGAGGGTCATGGGGAGGGAAGGGCCGGGGGGGGGGGGACTCCGAGTTTCTGGGTCCATGGTCCTCGGGATTCCAGGAGCACCTACTGCCCGGCAGGGTCTGGCGAGGGGGCGGCCGCGGGGGCGGAGGGGGAACTCGTCTGGAGGTCTGAAAGAGCGCGTTCTGTGGTCGCTTGGAGGGGGGGGGGCTGAAACCGGACCCCCTCCCTTGGATAGAGGGGGGGGGTTCGGGCCCCCCTCCCTGCT